TAAACTAATCAGGGAAGTTTTATTTGTAAACCGAATAAATAGGAAGATAGCATATAATTCAGGTAGACATTGTTCTCACCTTTTCGCCAAACTCTGATATCTTTGATATTAAAAAATATGACCCTTCCAATAATTATAGATGGTAGTGTATTAACCTTTTTTTTCGGAACCACAATCCGTAATGATTTCTATTTTATTAATGTGAACGAAAGCCTATTCAAATATCTAAATATGTAAACTTTAAGTTCTTCAACAATCAGTATAATTATAAAGTAGATCACATCAAATTCTACCGATTTATTTTTACTTAATAATTTCATTGCGACATTATCTCTTTATTTTAAAGCATTAAATGTTGTTTTTTAAAGTTTAATAAGTTTTCTGTTTATTAAATAGTGTAAAAAGATGATATAACATTCCACAGCGATTGAAGTGCTTCGCTTCGGTTCAAAACCTTTTGCTTACACAATTTTTTTTTTAAAATCCTATCCAGTTTTCTAGAAAACAAAGAAAAACAAGTTTAAATGCATATAGATGTTATACGCATTACATGAAAATAAAGATATAATATACTATAACAAACCAAACGGATAGAATTTTTTAAAACGTTTTTAAAAATTTTTAAAAACATAAAAATGCTGTTGGAAATTTGTTGCGCATATATCATGATAGAGATACTTATGTTTTAGGTAATTTGTTAAAACTGCGAGTTCAACACTCATTAAAGAGATAAATTTCTTTCTTATATATATAAAAAAAAGGTTTTACATGCAATCTGAAATTTTTATTAAAACTAACTGGTCAAGAGTCCTAAAAAGTACGGAAAGATATGAAAAAAGAAATTGTAATCTGAAACCTAAAAAAAAAAATTTAGTTACTCCAGAAGGTGACAAACAGAAAACCTTCAAAATTGCGCCTAATCCGCTAATAGAAATGCTCGAATATTAAGATATAAACAAATATTAAATGATTTTTGTATTACGAAACGTACGCCAACTCTTAAACCACTGTAAAACTACTTTGCGGTTATCTAATTAAATCCACCAAATCCGTTAATAAAAACAGCTTAATTAATAGATTCAAAACCATCTGATTTTTGTATTACGATATGTGCGCCAACTGTACTCTAAAACCAATAAAACTCGGCCATGTGGTCTTCATATCGATTATAACAATTGCAAAGCGAGGGACGACAAGTAAGTTGTAACTACAAGTTTAATTATTGTAATCTTCATTTAAAAAATTGAACTTATTTTATAATTACCATGTTAATATGTTTGAAGTTAATATGTTTTTGACCCAAGAATAAACATTAAGATTATTTTTTAGAAATGAGCAGCCAAGATACAGAAGGTATTCTTTTAGTTTTGTATAACATTAATTAATTAAAGAGATAAAAAGAGATGGTACGTCAATAATACTGAGATATTTAGCTTATTATTTTATTAAGAAATTACATTGAGATAATTTTGTATATCTTTAGGCGACGAAGAAGTTTCTGCATTTTTTCGAAGTAAGCCATTTATATATACTATATATAGTAGCAGTTACATATGTTCTAAAAGTGGCGGAACTGTACTTGATTTACGGTGTGAATAAAACGATGATTTAATTTAGCCGTTTTTAATTAAAATCAACCAAGATATGCCGCCCTCCCCTAACCCCGTGAATCAAGTACACCCCCCTAAAATTTAACTAAAATTAAAAAATATATAAATTAATTTTTAGAACTTTAAAAGGGTGGACCCAAAATTTGTTTATTCCGCCATTTTGATTGATGTTTTTGTAAAGCAGTGAACCTTAAAAACGCGTATAAGGTTTTTTAAGCTATAATTTTATAAAACGTGTTTAAGCTAAAATTGACTTTTAAGTCTTCTAACTACTAAACTTTTACGTAAAATGAAACTTTTTGTCATTTACTGAATGTGTTAAATTATAAAACTGTGCAACAGTTTTATAATTTAAGACAAATCTTATATGTTTAATTGAAAAAGTAAATATTTTGAAAATTAATTTTGTCTATATATATATTAGATGTTCAAGAGATCAGAGCCGAAGAGGTCTTGCCAAGTAAGCTAATTTTGTATGAGAAGGATACGTTACAAAGATATATATTTCACCAATTTCAGCAATTTGTTAATTATAACTTTTTTTTAATGTTTAGCGGAAATAATGGACAAGCTAAGTGAGGAATTTTGTTGTTGTTTTTTGTTTTTTTTGTAAGCAAATACATTTATGCTTTTTTAGTTTTTTTAAAGTTATTTAGCAACTGACTTTTGTCAGTTGTGACAGTTAGTCAGTCAACAAGTGACTTTTGTAACTTTTAAATTTATTTTATTTAGAAAAATTAGAAGATTCTGTTGAGAATCTAAGTAAGCAATTTGTTATTGTTGTTGTCATGCTCTTTATTTTTTTTATTACATATTTATTTAACATAAAGTTATTCTATATTTGGCAAGTTAGTTTATTTTAATGTTTATAAGTTTTTCATTTTATTTAGAAAAATTAGAACATTCAATGGGTAAACTGAATTTGATTATATTACATTTGTGTATTATAGATAAAGATATAGCATTTTACTTTCAAAAAAAAAGGTGTATTCTATGGTCTTTTAGCTTTTTTGATACAAATTTTAGCATTTTTTTTTATAGGGCTTATATTTCAACAACTTAGTAAGTTACTATATTGTTCTTGTGGATTGTTTCTTTAGTTTATTTTTTATTTTTTTTTTGTCGCTTTTTTCTTTTTTGGTTTGTTTTGTTTTGTGATTGTTATTTTTACCTTTTGTTTTGTTCCAACTTTATTTATAGATTTCCTAAAGTTGACAAATATTCTGCATGTTTAACATGCAGAATATTTGTCAACTTTATTATTTATACTTGTCAAAAACTCATTAACATTAGGAAAGAAACTAACATTGTTTGTTTCTTTCCTAATGTTAATGAGTTTTTTTTTATTCTATTTAGAAAATTTAGAAAATTCAATTGGTAAGCAAAGTAGACTTATGTTTCTTTTTGTTTATTTTTAACACACAATTTTTTGATGTTTGTGTGCGGTTTTATCACTCTAAAATAAACTGTTTAATTGATTAGTTTATGTAAATATATTTTTTACCTCCACTATAGCGTCATCTGCAGTACCATCAGGTAATGTGTTTTGCATTCTTATGCCGTTTTAAGAGTGGTATGTGTGTTAAAACTTAAAGATAGCATATCTTAATTTACAGATTACTTTATTTATTTATTTTTTTGTCTCTACATTAGCACCTCAAGCAATAATATCAGGTAATCTGCTTAGCATACTTATGCAGTTTTATGGGTTTTATGTGTATTTAAACTTAATCATTACTGTTTTCATGCAACTACATAAATGTTTAACATATGTTACTTTATACACTTTTTTTTTTACCTTTACAATAGCACCAATGTCATCATATGCAGTACCATCAGGTAATGTGTTTTGCATACTTATTCAGTTTTATGAGTGTTATGTGTATTGGAACTTTAACATTACTTTTTTCATGTTTGTAAACAATTACATAAATGTATAACATATGTTACTTTATACACTTTTTTTTTTTTAATATTCACAATAGCATCAATATCATCTGCAGTACCATCAGGTAATGTGTTTTGCATACTTATGCAGTTTTATGAGTGTTATGTGTATTAAAACTTAAAGATAGCATATGTTAATTTACAGATTACTTTATTTTTTTTTTTTTCTCTACATTAGCACCTCAAGCAATAATATCAGGTAATCTGCTTAGCATACTTATGCAGTTTTATGGGTTTTATGTGTATTTAAACTTAATCATTACTGTTTTCATGCAATTACATAAATGTTTAACATATGTTACTTTATACACTTTTTTTTTTTACCTTTACAATAGCATCAATATCATCTGCAGTACCATCAGGTAATGTGTTTTGCATACTTATGCAGTTTTATGAGTGTTATGTGTATTGAAATTAAACATTACTTTTTTCATGTTTGTTATCAATTACATAAATGTTTAACATATGTTACTTTATACACTTTTTTTTTTTTACTTTCACAGTAGCATCAATATCATCTGCAGTACCATCAGGTAATGATGTAATTTAATGAAAAACTTAAAGATTGCATATCTTATTTTGCACATCACTTTATTTCTTTATTTTTTTGTCTATACATTAACACCTCAAGCAATAATATCAGGTAATCTGTTTAGCATACTTATGCAGTTTTATGAGTTTTATGTGTATTGAAACTTAATTTTTTTTTTTCATGTTTTCATGCAGTTTCATAAATGTTTAACATATGATACTTTATACACTTTTTTTTTTTTTTTACTTTCACAATAGCATCAATATCATCTGCAGTGCCATCAGGTAATGTGTTTTGCATACTTATGCAGTTTTATGGGTTTTATGTGTATTGAAATTAAACATTACTTTTTTCATGTTTGTTATCAATTACATAAATGTTTAACATATGTTACTTTATACACTTTTTTTTTTTTTACTTTCACAATAGCATCAATATCACCTGCTGTACCATCAAGTAATGTGTTTTGCATACTTATGCAGTTTTATGGGTTTTATGTGTATTGAAACTTAAACATTACTTTTTTCATATTTGTTATCAATTACATAAATGTTTAAAATATGTTACTTAATACACTTTTTTTTTTTACCTTCACAATAGCATCAATATCATCTGCAGTGCCATCAGGTAATGTGTTTTGCATACTTATGCAGTTTTATGAGTGTTATGTGTATTAAAACTTAAAGATAGCATATGTTAATTTACAGATTACTTTATTTATTTTTTTGTCTCTACATTAGCACCTCAAGCAATAATATCAGGTAATCTGTTTAGCATACTTATGCAGTTTTATGGGTTTTATGTGTATTGAAACTTAGACATTACTGTTTTCATGCAATTACATAAATGTTTAACATATGTTACTTTATACACTTTTTTTTTTTTACTTTCACAGTAGCATCAATATCATCTGCAGTACCATCAGGTAATGATGTAATTTAATGAAAAACTTAGAGATTGCATATCTTATTTTGCACATCACTTTATTTCTTTATTTTTTTGTCTATACATTAACACCTCAAGCAATAATATCAGGTAATCTGTTTAGCATACTTATGCAGTTTTATGAGTTTTATGTGTATTGAAACTTAAATTTTTTAAATGTGTTTTGCATGCTTAAGCAGTTTTATGAGTGTTATGTGTATTGGAACTTAAACATTACTTTTTTCGTGTTTGTATGCAATTACATAACTGTTTAATATATGTGTTTGTTTATATACTTTTTTATTTATTTCTGCAATAGCAACAGTATCAACTGCAGTACCACCAGGTAATGTGTTTTCCAAACTTATGCAGTTTTTCTGTATTTATGCAGTGTTATGTGTATTGAAACTTAAACATTACTTTTTTCGTGTTTGTATGCAATTACATAACTGTTTAATATATGTGTTTGTTTATATACTTTTTTATTTATTTCTGCAATAGCAACAGTATCAACTGCAGTACCACCAGGTAATGTGTTTTCCATACTTATGCAGTTTTTCCGTATTTATGCAGTGTTATGTGTATTGAAACCTAAACATTACTTTTTTCATGTTTGTATGCAATTACATAACTGTTTAATATATGTGTTTGTTTATATACTTTTTTATTTATTTCTGCAATAGCAACAGTATCAACTGCAGTACCACCAGGTAATGTGTTTTCCATACTTATGCAGTTTTGTGGGTGTTATGTGTATTTGTGTAGGTATATATGAAATTTAAACATTGCATATCTATATTTTTACATTACTTTATTTATTTATTTTTTTTGTCATAACTTTTTTTTTTTTGAAGTCTAAATAGTTTTAGATAATATTTTTATTGGTTGTTTTGTGCAGTATTGTATTCAAATTTATTTCTTTTTTTGTTTTTGTTTTTTAGCATCATATCAAGATTTCCTGCAATATCGCTCCCAGCACCCAGGTCCAATATCTTCAAGAGCTTTTTACCGGTGGAGTCAATATGGGGGAGATGATCCCTCCTTTAGATGGAGGAGAGAAGCCCCATATGACACCACTGGTAGAAGGAGGGGTGCTGGAAAGCGGTTTAACTCTTTTAATTTCTACCAGTAGCTTTTTTAAACTACTGGTAGAATTATCTTCTTTTTTATTTATAAAGAAAATTGAATTTTTAAAAAAATGTTTTTTTAATTTCGCAATTTTTTATTATTTTAATTTATATACTTTTACTATTTTATTTTTTTGATTTTTAATTCTGTTTTTAAATCCTAAACTAACAAAGAACTCTTATGTTATAAAAGTTTTTAATAATTTGTCTATAAGTTTTTTTATTAATTTACGTTTTTACGTCTTTTTATCCTCATTTTTAATTTTAATAATACTAAATTTTCTTTTGTATTAACTTTTATTTGTTAAGTGTTATATAGTTTTTGAAAGATTGGGTAAATATATTTGAAGTTTTTCTTTTTCTATGATATCTGTTTAATATGTCTAATATATGCACTATACACATATTAATCTCTTTACATTATTCTCTTTAGATATATTATAAAATAGTATTTAAAATCAGTTGTCAGCCACATGTGGTCTATATGATGCAACATGTTTGCAATTGTTGGCATGTCATTTAAAAATATGTAACTAATTTTGCTTTTCAATATTACCATTAATATGACTTTTAAAATAATAAAATTTTTTATTTGTTTCAAAAAATACTGTTTTATTACTTACAATATAGTATGTTATTACAAGATACTTCTGGCTTTTTCTCTGTTTCAAACCAGTTTAGTTATATCTTTTGTTCACAAATTTTATTAGATGCTATACACATAGTTTCATAGGTTTAAACTGATAAATAGCACTTTATTGTTTTTGTTCATTTTAGATTAGTATAGCAAAAAATTATTAAGATAAAGTTTTATCAAACATAAATAATTTCTCAATTATGTCAAGTAACCTAAGAGCTGAAAATAGAAGAAATCGTCGAAATGAAAGAAATGAGGCCAGACAAGAAGAAATTAATCGTTGCCAAAATGAGAGAAATGAGGCCAGACGAGAAGCAATTAATCGTCGCCAAAATGAAAGAAATGAGGCTAGGCGAGAAGAAATTAATCGTCGCCAAAATGAAAGGAATGAGGCTAGACGTGAAGAAGTTAATTGTCGCCAAAATGAAAGAAATGAGGCTCGACGAGTATTATTTAGGCGTGAAATGTATTGCATAGCAAGAAATAATGTTTTTATAGAGAGTAATTACCTAGGAGAAATGAACCATAATTGTCAGTATTGTGGTGCTAAAATTTTTTTAAATGAAACACATTTTTTGTGCTGCCATTCAGGAAAGGTTGTCTTACCTCCACTTTCACCTTATCCACCGCTGATGGTTGATTTAATGACAGGCAACCATGTTGATCGTGCTTTGAATCAAAATTTTTTCAAGCATATACGAAATTATAATGCCTGTCTATCTTTTGCTTCATTCATAGCCACAATAGATCCTCCGTCAAATCGTGGTCCACCCTGTTTTAGAATTAGTGGGCAAATTATGCATCGTATTGGTAATCTAAGACATCAGCAAGGGGATCCACCTGCTTATTGTCAATTATATGTTTATGATCCTAATACTGCTTTAAACTTTCGAATGGAGCAAAATGATTGTTGCATACGTGAGTTAATGGAACTTTTGCAGACTATAATTAATCAGGAGAACCCATATGCGCTTGCATTTAAAAACATGGCAGAAGTTGAAGATGCAGAAATTCGTCAAGCTGCTATAGAAGGTCGACCGATTTCTGTTGTCAAAATGTCGTTGCTTGAGGGTTGTGATAGACGTCGATACAATCTTCCATCACATGAAGAGGTTGCCATTGTGTTTGTAGGAAATGATGGTGCTCCACCTCCATCTAGAGAAGTTGTTATTTATCCTCGAGGTCAACCCTTAAAAATAATTTCAAGTATGTCTGCAAATCTAGATCCAATGATATATCCAATATTTTTTCCAAGAGGTGATGCAGGATGGCATGATCAACTAGAGCACAATCCTGACCGAGCAACACGTGTTCGAAATCGTGTTACTTTATCTCAGTACTACAACTATAGGCTTTCTATTAGACAAACGTTCAGTCCTATATTTTATGGTAAGAAACTTTTTCAACAGTATGCTGTTGATGCATATGTCAAGATTGAAGGACAGCGCCTTGCTTTTATCAGAAATAACCAAAACAAACTTAGAAGTGAACAATACGATACATTACATGAGTATGTAAATAATGTTGCAAATAACCTTAATGTAAGACCGGGTCGTGTTGTTATACTACCATCCTCATATGTTGGAAGTCCAAGAGCTTTAAAAGAAAATTTTGAAGATGCAATGGCAATTATAAAGAAATATGGTAAACCAGATCTTTTTATTACTTTTACCTGTAATTCAAAATGGAGAGAAATTACAGAAAATTTAAATCCAGGTGAGAGCGCAACTGACAGGCCTGATTTAGTTTGTCGCGTATTTAAGATGAAACTTAAATGCTTCTTAGGTGATATTTTTAAACATGGAGTCTTAGGCAAAGTTATAAGTCATGTACAGGTTATTGAGTTTCAAAAACGTGGTTTGCCACATGTGCATATTTTATTACACTTTGTAAACGATGATAAGCTAGAAACAGCAGAGGATATTGATAGTTTAATATCAGCTGAAATTCCAGATCAAACTGTTGATCCTG